TGACACTCGTATTTCCTGCCAGGTGCTTACAAGTGTCAGTAATTTAATACGGACAAAAATGCACGCCAAGTGAGCCGTTAGTATCTGAGTAGTTGTTCATAAATTTGTTGTTATAAAGTTAAACTCGTTTCAGCCAAAATCTCAAGATACTCTTAAAATTCAAGTTGAACTGATCCATGTAGGAAACGAAATATGTTAACGGTTACCGTGTCTCACGGTGTTGTCGCTTGCAGATTTACTTATACTTTTTCTTCAACCCTGAAGATGGGGGCGATACGTTCCTCCGAAACGTCGGTTAACACCACATATACACGGTGCCAAATCCCAGAAGACTGCTTTCTTCAATATATACAAATAATTTATTGCGACTTTCCATCTTGTTTCCAGTCATTAATCATTTATATGCGTTCTGTTCTGGCGACGGAACCTGAATAGCGTCTCACGGGCAATTCGCGCCGCTTACTGAAGTCCATTCTTCCGTACTCTCGGATAGATAAATCCCCAGGTCTGAGTTGTTCGCGTCGCAGAATTTTTAGCTTGTGGGTGTATGTGTGGAGGAACGACTTTGATTTCTGCGTGAACTGGGTGAAACAAGCTTTAACCAGTCCCCACAATACGAGTATGTGAGAAGATTTACGGACTTCAGATACTCAAATAATTTTTTTTTTCTTTGGCGCTACAGCCCAAATTTGGGCCTTGGCCTACCTCCATGAAACTCTCCCTTTCACTTTGGTTTACTAGATCTTAGACATTCAGTAGAACTCCTTAGGCGAGTGATAAGCTCGTCACAAGGCCTATACCTGTACACACACACACAAACACTAAACATCCATGTCCTGAGTGACAGTCCAACCCACGATCCCGGCTTCCGAGCGAGCAAACACAGTGAATGCTTCAGACCGTTCGGCTACCGTGACCGGCAACCATCCCTGTGTATGGTACAAATCAATACCGTTATCATGATTGCGACCAGGATTATTTCCAGAGTGGGGAGAAGGAAGGCAGCCAGAAAATTTGTTTACGAACTAAAGTTCAAGGAGGACTAGTTAGTGGTCTTCGGTGAATATTCGGGATTAATTAATACATTTGTAAGTAATAATTGTAAACCTCTGTATTAATATGTTACATTTCCTTCATTTTCAGTTCTGATTTTAAAAAAAAGTCATGGGCGCCGAGGCCTATGCCCAGCCTGCCTCTCCCCCCTCATGCTGGCGCCCATACAGGCCTATGTGTGCATGAAGGCATGAGACTTTAGTGGTGGAACCGTCGTTAAATTTTGCTAACAGAGAGTGCGTCGTTACTGAAGTTACGGAACCTCTCTGTCAGAGCATCTTTATATTTGGGAGATATCGGGTTCGAAACTAGGCCCGAAGACTGTCTATCCTTAAAAATGCTTGGGAAAATTTTCTTCGTTCAGTTTCAGCATTTGACTGAAGAGTGCTTTAAAATGCAAACCACCACCGCTGTCTTATATGTTGTTCTTAATTCGCAGTCATTTTGTCATTAGTCGCTGTATGACATACGCACTAGAGAAGGAACCTTATGGAGCAGAGTCTCTCTTGAGAAGTAGGAAATTCCCCCGCCATCTATGGAAACGGAAAATGTTTACTGTATTCACAAGTTCGTAACATCCTAATTAATATTTTTCGTTGGAGGGTTGCTAGCCCCAGCTCAGTCCCCAAACTTGAGAACCATACCTTGTTGGCTGACTGCTTATTTAGTACATTAGCAGCTACAAGTAGGAAATTATCCGTTCTAATGTATATTAATTAATCCGGTTACCAACCAACTCTGCAGGCCGCGCCGTAGCTCAATCGGTTAGTCGCTGGCTTCCCACCGCGGCGGCCCGGGTTCGAACCCGGGTCTGGTGAAGTTGGATTTGTGGTGGACAAAGTGGCACTGGGGTAGGTTTTCTCCGAGTACTTCGGTTTCCCCTACCAATCTTCATTCAACCCAGTTGCTCCACAATCACCCTCACCTATCATCTGGGGCTGGTACAATAGGCCAGAAGTGGCCGCAGTTCAAGGGACTTAGTCCCACTCCACTAGCAACCCTGCAACACTGCAAGACTGCAGTCTTGATCCGACTACCAACAAAACCACATCAAACACACACACGAAGATTAATTAAAACAAGGCTGCATCAAGGACTGAAAAAAACGGCGAAAATTACAGATTTGATTAACTTTCACTATGTTCGGGCTTGCATTTTAACCTCAAGTTTTAATGAAATGAGTTTGAAACTTCGACGAATAGTAATGGATTGTGGAATCCATGAGTGTACCAACTCACAAACAATATTGGTGTATCATCTGATTATGGGGCGTAATTAAATGTTGCGAATAAAGGTCTGAAATATTGATATTTACTCCATTCCCACAGCAGGATGCTAGAATATAATATTATCTGTTCTAATGTATAACGCCTAATGTCTAATTCTCTATATAGGCTTATATTTTACATTAAGTATAAGGTCGGTTTATTTATAATATTGTCAGTTATAGTTCAGTTACCTCTGGCGAGTCAAGTGTATTTATGAATAAAATAGCTATCTCTGTAACGGGCCTTGGAGACCCATAGGGTTGTGAGTTCTCGAGGTTCCCACATTTTCTAGACAATTTTTTCACATATAGCCTTAGGCTCCGTCCGCCCTTTACCCTCGGGAAGATTCCTGGTACTTATTTCTATTAGAAGCTGAGTCAACCCCAAGGTCATTATGCAGCTGGAATGTTAGGTCAATTGAAAATTCCAATGACCTCGTTGAGATAAAAAGGAGGGGTTAACGACACACAAACAAAACAAACTCCGTGGCCTTTAGTCCGCAACCGAACTATACCGACCGACACACACAAACAGATGTTTTTATTACTCCACTCAGAATATTTTTCGGACCAGACAGGCCGTCATCAGGTGAGGAATATACAAATTAGGACGTAATACATATAAAAACTACAATGCTATTATGAATTTGTTAGTAGAATTAGGTCGGCTCCGGCTTAATGCCATATACTCGTTAGATTTTAAAATTATATTAGACACACTTCTTAAATTTTAAAGCTAAAAAATAAAACTGTGTATGGAGACGGCCACTATAAAAGGTACGGGCATTTTCCAAGGAATGGGAGGAAACATTGAGGATATTTTAGAGAATATAGGGTTCAGGTGCCGATCGCAGTGGCCGCACGGTGTAAGGCATGAACTGTCTTCGTCAGCTCGAACACTGGTATTGTGTGCTCGAATCCCACTGAAGGCATGAATGTCTCTGTGCGTTTATTCTGTGTTTATGTTGATTTATGTGTAGGTAGCAGCGTTGCTACGGGCTGATCCCCCGTCCAAGGAGTCCTAGCGACTCTGTATAGGATTAAGAAACTGAAAAAGCGGCCAAGGCCCACAAGGGCTGTAGAATCATAGATAAGGTTGAGGTGATAAAGTTGGTATGTTTATGTTGGGAGGGATATTTAAGGTACGATATGTTGTATTATGATGTGAGGGCGATGGAATGTAGTTTTGATCCGTTGCTCTGCGTAGAAGGCTGTTTCTCCCTGGCCGTAGTAAATATTCTGTTGAGATAACTGAGTATGTTGATTACTTTGTTCTTGGAAGAAGCCAGATCTGTTAGTAGTTAGATCTCTTGGCTTGTTCATTATGTTGCAGGTGCTTTTGTATTATTTATTGTAGAGGTTTGCATCTGTTGGCTCTCTTGTACGGTCTGCTATTTTTTGAGATGGGCCGGACTGTAGAAGGATACGTGTGCAGTCTATGAAACTGTTCCCTGTGATGATGTGACGCGTGACTGGCAGGAATCAATTTTTCCCGCTCACACCACACCACCACAAGAAACTGCTTATTCCTGCCAGTCACGCACCGCACAGGAGGCTGGGTAGGACGCGCAACCGGTCTGGACCCTGTGGAGTAACGAATAATCTCTTGCACCTGCTTGGAACAGAACCCAGGCTGTCCAGCCGGTAGCCAGTAGACCATCGCTGTACCGACTGAGCTATCCCGGCTCGTTCTATTCCCGTTTGTCTCTATAAAATGTGCTTTATCTCTTCTAGAGCTTAGGCCCCGAAAGTAGTCATGTATTTCCTAGTCACTCTTGTTCGTAATTGTACGATTCTTTTATTAGTAAATGTGTAAGACTCAGTTTCGTTCTCACAATGGCTATTCCAGCCGACTGATAATCGGAATGCTTCTTGTACTTAAGAACGACAACTTAGTATGCGAGCGGGAAAAATCTTAAAGCTTAAAATTGCTTCTGTATGACTGTGGCTATCATGGTATTCCAGAATTCTGCAGAAAAACATTTTGTGTCTTGGAGTATCAGCAAGGTTTGAGAACGAAGCTAAATCCTTCACGTTTCAGAGGAAATTTTGTGGTACATGTTGATGCTTACTTTTGTTTCTTCTGTTGTCCTCATCTATTTGTGAACTGTTGTTTTTGATGATACGTCCATCACAATTTCGACTACGGAAGTTTTAATTTATTCATTCCGCGTTGCTTGGGGGCGACATCTAGGCTTCCTTAGGCCCTTGTGGAAAACTGGATGATCACAACCATCACAACAGACACCGGGAGTGTTTTAAAGATTATGGTGGGGGACAGGAAATAATTTTGGACTCCAGTTCGGTAACAGCTTATCCCACTACACTCAGTGATATATATATATAATCTTAATTTTCGTGTTTGTCATCCTGTTATGCACAACTGGATTTTATTTTTTTTTCTTTTATTAACATTCATTTTACAACCAAAACATGAATGTGTGTTTATTGACACTTCTGTCGGGTTGACAGACGGCCTCATTGTCGTGGTTCTCACGTTTTCGTTGCCAGTATATTCCAATGTTGCGTTAATATTCTTTAACCGATGCTTCGTCAAGCTGGAAGTCGTAACAGGAGGCAAAAAACAATTGTTAGGCATCCTACGTCACAGCCATAACGTCATTGAAACGCCAGTAGACTGTTACCTGAAGCTCTTGGCTAGGAGGGGGAAGAGTAGTGAGGCGGGAACAATCCCTAGCAGTGTTTGTTAGTTGTAGTTCGTGTCCACAGTCTACTACGTCAGTTCAGTGCTTCCTGCCAGTAAGGCGGGTTGTTGTTCGTTCTAAGTGGTTCCGGTCTGGTGATATTTTAGTTTGGTGCCGGATTGTAATCATGCCTAGAGATGTACTAAGCAATACGAGCAATGATTATGAATTTGTTGGTAATTTTCGACCGCCAGAGAGAAGTACAAGAGAGGCCATAAAGTTACTCTTGTACAATCGTGAAGCAGGCACAGTGTTAGGAAGAACGGGGACAAGTTGGGGTAAGAATCTTGTATGCGTATTTTGTAACTTACAGTCTCTGTGGATGATTCTTGTTGAAGGTCTTCAAAAATTATGATCCATCAGAGGACCTGTTTGACGTTATGCGTCAAAGATAACATCCTTCGAGTTTAGGATAGTAAACGGATGTAAGGTACGTATTTCAATTGCAATGGTGATCTGTAACTGACTTTCGTCAGAATGAATGAGAATGTACATGTCGCTGTGTACAGGTTAGGTTTAGTATACGATATTCACAGGTACGCCATTATATATGGCTGCACATAAAACTCCAGGTGTTTACAGATATAGACTCGTTCTAGTGCTAGAGGTCTTCTGTATTCGAAGTTGCTTAGGAGTCTGTGGCACTGTGCTAATAAATTCACGGAAAATGAGGCAATATTCAGTTCTGATACTGTTATTTTGTACCACTTTATTATTATTTTTTTTGTGGGGTCCGCCCTGTGCTCGGAACAAAGCCACATTCCTGCAGCGTGTCACCGTTCATCCAACCGTACACCACTTGTTGGGTAGCGTGTAGCTCGTTCTCAATAGCGGAAGAAACACTAGGCATGCGCTGTAAGGAAAGTGAGCAAGTAACTTGTAAAGGAGGCCAAACGTATGAATTTTCTTAATATATAAACAGGTTAAAATGGTAAAATTGGCAGCAACGTAAAACAGTGTCGCACCTTCTAGTAATGATGGATGTTTATGTTATTTATGACTTTGTGACAAATTAAGAGGTTGCTTAATGTCGAATCGTATGGTATAATGGTAACCATAGTGTACGGTGACGTACTACCACACGATACATAACTTGAAGGCAAAAGGAACATTCCCATGAATACTCCAAAATTTTCATCAGATGAACGGATGAGGGGCTATTTATTGTGAGCTAGTAAGCGTAAGATGTTTTGAAAATCTGGCACAGTTCAGATATTCGGGAGTGACTATAACAAATCGAAACCTGATTCAGGAGGAAATTAAGAGGAGATTGAACTCGGGTAATGCTTGCTACCATTCAGTCCAGAACTTTTGTTTACTCTTCTGCTGTCCAAAAACATAAAAATTAGAATATACAAAACTATAATTTTACCTGTGGTTCTATATGGATGTGAAACTTAGTCTCTTATATTAAGGGAGGAACATAGACTGAGGGTGTTTGAGAACAGGGTGTTGAGAATATTTGGACCAAAGAGAGATGAAGTGATAGAAGGCTGGAGAAAACTGCACAACGAGGAGCTTCATAACTTGTACTCTTCTCCAAGTATGATTAGAATGATCAAGTCAAGGAGGATGAGGTGGTCAGGGCACGTAGATCGAATGGAGGAGACGAGGATTGCATATAGGATATTGGTGGGAAAGCCAGAAGGAAAGAGACCACTGGGAAGACCATGGCGTAGGTGGTTGGACAATAGTAAAATGGATCTTAGAGAGATAGGATTGGATGGTATTGATTGGATTGATCTGGCTCAGGATAGGGACCAGTGGAGGGCTCTTGTGAACACGGTAATGAACCTTCGGGTTCCATAAAATGCTGGGAAATTCTTGAGTAGCTGCGTGACTGGCGGCTCCTCCAGAAGGGCTCAGCTCCATGAGCAAGTAAGTAAGTATAGGGCTGCGCTTACTTGCCGCTTGCTTTCACCTTGGTCTTTGGCTCAGCTTATTCTTCGACCTAGAAAATGGAGGCGATATGTTTCTCCGAAACGGACTACACAGCGTTATATCCCAGAAGACAGAACTCTTAATGAACACGTTTTATTTGTTTTAACGAAGTCCCCCCCCCGCCCAGAAATTCAACTGTTGTGCTCCTGTAGATCCTAAATATGTGAATTAAGGGCCGGATAATTGAGAGAGATCCGGGGCTACTGTTTGCATATCTACTGGCGCTAAGCTCATGTTAAAGCTTAAGTAGCACTGTTGGCTGTGAAAACTCGTAGTCCTGAATTCTTTGTGTCTAGTTGGTCTCTAAATTACTCGGCTGTTACTCTTTCCTTTGCATTTCTTGTCGATCCGTTAGGAAGCAAAATCCATTTCAAGAAGCAGAGTCGTTGAACAGCAGATGGTCATATGTGGTCAGGGAAATCCCTCCCTTTATGGGGCCTGAATGTTCTGTACAGTGCTTACAGGAACTCACCACTGGACCCTATGGATCCATTAAGTTCCCTCATTTAATTAAGGTTCATTTTAATATCACCGCATGTAGATCTACATGAACTCTAACATGTTGATGGTGACGGGTTGTGACATATGAACTTTTGAAGAACTTTCACAGTGCACAGAACTGTAAGGTTTCTTATTTTGGATTCTATCCATCGTCTGGTATATATGACAAAAAACCTTACAGTTCTTTACAGCATACACCATCGTCGGAATCCTTTCAAGTCTATTTGCACAGTGCAGTTAATAATGTATTCGGCGCTAACTTCATGAGAAACTCGCGCCCACATGTTGACAGATCTATAACAAAAATTCTGAAGGAGAAACGGGTTTCCACGCTTTGCCATTTCAGTTGTCATTTGTGGAATTTCCAAGTGTGCCCCTGTCAGTCATGTATTTCCTTGTTATTCTGTATCCACTTGACTTTCCAGCACCCCTATTATTAAAGACAAAATTTCTAGTTTGGAAGAAATTCCGCTGCTAAAACTTTTATTTTAGTTGTAGGTTTTAATTTCGATTTGTTTATTGTGTTGTCAGTCGCGAACAAGTACAGCTGAGTTTATATGCACGCCATTAGCACTAATCTTTTAAATTTTACACGTTAAAGTATCATTGGCACCGTAACTTCGTTGAGACCCTTGCCCTCACAGCTGGCCTCGCACTACGCATAGAGCTACATATATTCTTTAAAAAAAGAATGTATTTATTGAAACAGTAACAGTCCAGTTTGCCCAGCCTTCATTTGTATGATATTATTGTGGTATTCAAGCAAGAAGATGGCGGACAGATGTTTGCCTACCAGTTCTTCAACCAGTGAGGATGGCATTCTTTGTTATTTCTGGTATACGTTTCCTTTTACGGCTTTCACGACTTAATACATGGTGTAAAGGCACAGGATCTCCAGTCTGTTGGTCTTCCCCGTTTCCAGAAGCCACCCCGTTGAATTTCTTCCATGGGGTTAAGTCAGACATAGTTTACTCTTGCGGTTGAAAACCTCCAAGATTAGTGCAACAGAATTTGAGCTGCTGTGGATATAATCAAACCAGAAATGCTTGAAAGAACGTCAAATGAACTGAGTTACGGCATGGATATTTTACCCATAGAGTACACGTTAAAGTGACCGGATGACAATCTAGGAAGGAAAGCTGAATGACTTGACCTTAATTGTGCAACAAGTTTAGACCTCTTGATCTTATATAATAACAAAGTTTTTGTTTAATTCGCTTAGTGGGGGGTGGAGTCCAACTGGTTCCACTCGGCACGGCGGCCACTAATTGGCTTATTGTAGCCTGCCCCGGGTTATTATGATGATGGAGAATTTTATGGGATGAAGATTGGCAGGGGAAACCGGAAGTACTTGAAGAAAACCTGCCTCAGCACCACTTTATCCACCACAAATCCCACTTGACCAGACCCAGGATCGAATCCGGGCCTCCGCGGTGGGAAGCCAGCGACTAACCGCTTGAGCTATGGCGCGGCCTTAATAACAAATTTAGTGAGGGATGAATATGTATGATCCTTTTGTGGACACTCTGTATATGTTTAATATCTCGATGAAAGTAAAGTAGTTGGGATTGTTGTTTGTTGTACTGTTTGTTTATAGTTTATGTAAGGAGGATGTCAGGAGCTCAGACTTTGTAAGATCAAATAATTTGACAGTACTGAATAATGAATTGTAAATGATCCGGAAGGAAGCAGCCATAGTCTAGTCGAAGCTATTATCTCGACTTAAATTAAAATAAAACGTAAGTTACCATCGAAGTACATCCACTTTGCTAGATATACGTAGGTGGTAAAAGAAAAGGTAAAACAATCCCTGTCACAGACCGTGGAGACCCATAGGGTTGTGAGATGTCGAGGCTCCCACATTTCCCAGACAATCGGTTCACATATGGCGGTGAGTTTCTCAGCCTTCAGCGCTGGCCGCTCTTTGCCCCTAGGAAGATTCCTGGTACTCATTTCTGCTAGAGGCTGAGTCGACCCCATGGCCAATTTCTGTTAGAGGCTGAGTCGACCCCATGGCCATAATGCGGCTGGAAGGATTACATGAATTGAAAAATTCAAAGACTTCATCAGGAATCGAACCCGCGACCTTCCGGTTTGAAGCATAGTGTCTCAACCAACTACGCTACATCGTGCCCCGACGTTAAATATTGACCATATTGAAAGTGTACCAAAGGGAATTTGTAGATCATGTTGAGATTTATATTTTACTTTATTCACATTTTTTTCTTACGGTGAGACGTTTTTGAAGACGAGTAAAACATATAGGATTTTGGTGGGAAAACCAGAAGGAAAGAGACCACTAGAAAGACATAGATGTAGGTGGGAAGATGATATTAAGATGGATCTTAGAGAGATAGGACGGGGTGGTATTGACTGGATTGATCTGACTCAGGATAGGGACAAGCGGAGAGCTCTTGTGAACACGGTATGTTGGGAAATTCTTGAGAATCTGCGCAACTGACGGCTTCTGAAGAAGGGCTGAGCTCCATGTAGTCGGAGACGTTTTTGAGAAATTCTATACAGTTGTTTGAATTTCGTGTTCAGTAGTGCTGTTTCCATTACATGCCCTTCTACACTCGTACAAATGGACTATTAACGCACATTATCCAAGAGTTACCGCTTGGAAATGTCCAGTTTATAGTGAATTCGTTCTGTGCGCTATCATCCCTGAAACTCATCTGTTTCTGTGGGCTTCGCTTGCCAGTAGTTTCCAAAATGCAGAAGTTCGCTAGTTTGCGATTTGTGGCCTCGAAGCGTGCCTGTGAACGAAGGATACGGACTCAGGCTTTAAAGTACTGTATAAAGATCTAACCCAAACTGGATACGCTATAGGGAC